ATTATTATTATATTTCATATTAGGGGGTTGAGATTGCGAATAATTTTTATGTACATCTAGTCATATAAATTGTGGATTTACGGACTCAGTGGATGTGAATTTTACTCACTTGCATGTCCCTGCAGCTTTTCCCTAAAATCCTCTCAATCTGGTTTCGCCTGTTCTACCTTAACTAATATTCTTTGGAGCAATTTTTTTATGACCACTTTTTCTTTATAACTTTTGCTGATCTGGTGGAATAGGTAACAATAAATTTATGACCGAATACTTTTGTATGATATGCAAATCTAATCATAAATGTGAATCGCTTTTTATGGGATAATTCCCGTTTCATTTATTTATATATTCCTAATGAATCTTCCGTCTTTTCGGTTTAAGGCCAGTTTAATCCAGCTCCGAATCACGTCTCCCTTATAGTATCAGGTGCTGGGGGGGGCGGTAGTAGCAATACTCTTTTTGGACAGCATAATCTCGCCGGTTCTGGAGCCTCCGGAGGTGCTGGTAATTTTATACGTGGCTTTCCACCTACTGCTGGTCCGGGTCAAGCCTTCAGTTCTACGTGTGGCCCAGGTTCCGGGCAATCATTGCCCGGCTTCGGTCATGGGTCGACTGGCCCTGGGACAGGCACTGGCTGTGGTCTTAGTGGAGTAGGACCAGGGCAAGCTGGAATCCGCCCAGCAGGACCGGGCACGTCAAATTTACTTAATTTACACCCAGGACAGCAGACAAGTCATCCTGCGTCTATTTCTCGGCCCAGCCCTTCGGGTATTCCGCCAGTCCAAATTCCACAACAGAATATCACTGGAACTGGAGCTTGGCCGCCTGCTCATCAAATGCCTTCTGAATCCGGTATTTATCGTAGGCGATATCAGTATTCAGAACTATGAAATTCTGTGAGCTTATTAAGTCTGGTTTTGGGAAACACCAAGCAGCAGGAATTTATGCCTACCATTTTTCTATAATCTTAATTAATGTTCTCCCGCGTGTCAGCCTTCAAATTTGGATGCCAGAAATTTCTACTGCTTCATTCATAAATATATTTACAGTCAGAGTGGAAAATGGCAGCAACTTTCCAGTACTGATTTCAGAAATAATGGTTATTTTATAGTAAAGTTCAAAGAATTAGTCATACTACTTTGATTAGCCGAACTATCTTTTAATGTATGCTCTATTAATGCTTCATAATTCCGTTTTCATTCTTTGAACTACGTGCTTGATTGGTGTAATAGGAATCCGATCTACAGACTAATTCCGATATGCCGGCTTTTATTTGAGGCAATTGACTTTTTTAGTGTAAAATATTATCTTGATCTCTTTTCTCTCATCATGTTCAGTGGCCATGTCTTGGTATTTAGTTGAATGCATCTTAGAAGCAAATTTTACAAATAGGTTATATAATTATTCAATCAGAATAAGCCTTGGGAATGCTTAATAGGGTATATTTTATTCTATATAGTCCTAAGAAAACTGTTTATATGTAAGTCTACCCTATTTTTGCGTTTTATCACCTGTCTCTATCTTCATTTAATCTTACTTTGTTGGTCTTACATCTTCCTAGCCTTACGTTTCTTTAGTTAATCTTTTATTATCGTTTGATTGACTAGGTCATCCACTTGATGATTCTATCTGTGCTAATCTATGGGGTGGCTCGCTCATTGACAACGTTCCAGGCCCGATCAGCATGAGCTATGGGATCGGCCGCCCAATTGGAAAACAGCAGTCACTATCACAACAGCAGCAGTCATTACCACAACATCATGGACAACTACCTATGGGCCAACCTCGCTGGTTGACCTCTGGCTCTGATGCTTCAACGACTTCTTATTCCCTTAGTGCTACTGGTGGCGGCAGTGGTGCAGCCTACACTCCATCAGGCTGGCCTACTACCGATCCTAGGAAGCTCATTGGCAGCGGCGCCGGTCCATCCAGTTCTACATGGTCCCCTTCAACCGCTCCAGGAAGCACTCCCACAGGTCCTCTTGGTCTCCAAACTCCGGGGCCTCCCATGTCTGTTACCAGCAGCTCCTTTGATATCCCCGGAGGTTCCTCCACGTGTGGTACTGGGACTGGTGGGTTTTCAAGACCCACTTCGCTGTTGCCAGGTGCAGGAGGTATAAGTCATATTGGCGTATCGGGCCAATTTGGAGGGCCTCCCAGTTCATTACAGTTACATGCGATGATTCAACAGCATCATCAGCAGCAACAACACCAGCATCATCTTCAGCAGGAGCATCCACCTCACCAGCGACCACTTCTTGGAAGTGGGAGCGCTGTGGCTCATGCTTTACAGCAACAGAGCGTACTTCGTGCTAACCTTATTCGCCAGCTTTTGGCAGTCGGCTTTTCAGAGGAAGAGATCCATAATTCATTAGTGGAAAATAATATGGACATGGAACGAGCACTTAGCAAGTTCACATATTTCACATTTTTAAATTAGATTAAATTTTTTTACCAATCTATAACTTTGTTCATTTATTTTCTGTCATTAACGTTTTAAGTGTCTTATTTTCTTAGTGATATTAGTTGAATAACATCCATCTTAGGACCGTGAATCGTCCTCAAGTGGCATGATTTATTGTCTTACTTTTTTATAGGCCCACCAACCTTAGCTTAAAATCGTAAATATGAAGGCCAAGGTAGAATTGGTATAATCTTGCAGACCTCTTGGCACCCAACTGTAATATTAGTTGTAGTGATCATTTGCATAAAAGGACCGTTACATTAGTCTTATTACATTCCCAGAGATTTCAACGATATCGCCTAGGGTGCTATCCTTATCTTTCACTTACAACTTTCTCGATTTGAAGCTCAGTGCTAAGTCTGTTGCCTTTCCATGACGTTATTATTGGTGCCTTTAACAATGGGAAGCTAACAAGCCGATACTGGAAATTAGCATACCTACTATGAAGAGGATGACGGACCAGGTACGCTCAACGTGATCTCACTGTCATCTTGATCAAGTTTCGAAATCCTAGTCATGTTAACTTTTAGCTCATAAAACTCTTTTAGGTCCTAGTCGTGTTGTTCAACTATTTTTTTCTTGTTAATCCATTTGCGCTAAATGGAATCTGCCCACAATTTTATGAAGAAAAAACCTAGTTAGCACCAAAATTATAAATATTATTTTTTAAGAACTGCCACTTTAGGGGATGAAAGAGCTGATTGTTTAGTTAGCCAGAATGAAATTATTTTTTAACGCTCACGGATTCATCGACTTTTTTCTTTACCTTGATTTACACAACTTTCTTATCCACTTTTGAATTCAGATCAAAACTTGGCAAAGGCTTAACCTAAATTCAATTTTAATCTAATAATTTCATAATCACGAAAATTAAGTTTAATTGTAACATTTGCTTAAAGCACTAATCCATAATATTTTCTCACGTTTGTCAATTTTGATAGTGGATCTAAGAGATCGTTCTGGAAATCACGCCCTTGACATGCTCCTTTCCTCAATCATGACAGCTGTAGCAACCGCTTCAAGTTTGGGCCCTGCCACTGGAACTAGTAATAATGTCCTCAACACGAGTGATTTCTCCCTCTCTGCTGGTGTACCTACCACTGGAACTGTTACGAGGTCTATAACTCCAGCTGGTAATGCGCCAATCACCGGGGGTCTTGACCCAGCTTCAACAATACAAGGACAAACACCGCAGTTGCTGCAGCAGCCCGGCCTTCTTGACCATCCGCATCACCAGGCACAAGCAAGCTCTGGCCGACACATTATGATGAGGCCGAACCAACTGATGATGAGTAACGCTCAGGTGGATATTGTAATTCTATATATTTTTTAATAATCTATCTTATCTTTCACTTTTTTGTGATAATGCATATATTTCAGACCAATTGAATATATTATCCTTCCATCAACTTGATTCATTTTAAAAGCTTTTTCGAAGGTATGAAGACCAAGATGGTGTAGCCTTTCGTATGGTCGCCGTCTCCTTTCGTTGTATAAAAGTTATTTGACCTTATTTTCGCAACTCGGTCATATTGT